CCCCTGTCCCCAAGCAGTATCTTTATTTCCTTCTTAACTGCATCCTAAAGAGGGTACAGGGACAAATGTCATTGCAACTTTGCTAAATCCTTATTAGATGGCAGAGGTGCCAGCATTATATCCTAAGAGCTAAAAGTCTCACTAGAACTAAAAAACTTAGTAGATGCTGTATCAGTCTCTTTATACCTTCAGCTTAAATCATTACTCTTGAAGAACTTAAAAAAAATAATCTATGTTATTGGTGTCCTTTTTTTCCCAAGGGATCAATTCCAGATAGTGAGATTCCCTTGGTTCTTGAGCCAAACTCAGTATCAGTAAAACTAAATCCACATCCAAGGGGGGGAAGCAGATTTAACTTTAAAGTATTGCTAATAGTTTCCCTGTCAGTGGCTATCCAGAATAAAAGGGAAAAAAATGTGGAAAAGGAAAAGCTTCCCCCCCCACACAATATGAGCCTCTGAGATCTGCAGAACATAAAATTGGAAAGGGTCTTTGAAACACCCGTGACAGCATCAAAGTTTCAGAAGATAACACAGAGGCCAGAAAAATGAGCTAAAACTTAAACAGAAAAGAAGTTAGCTAAGTAAATAGACAGTCCTACACTTGAGGTTTTTTTAAAAAGCATTTGTATACCAAGTAAGAAAGATCTGACTTAATGTAAACATATAACTAGCTTTTTAATTAACTGTAAGCTCAGTAAGAGCCGGCAGAATGAGCGAGCTATTAAAAATAAGATTGTACTAATAAGTGTCTTTATGAACAGGAGTAATAATTGCAGAGGAGGCAATCGCGGTGGCATTTGGATTAGGTTTACTACATCTCATTTCAAAGTGATACTAGCCAACTATGGACCAGAGTGACTAGAATGTTTAAGAGGTCTCATCACCCATGTCTAATAACAAGGAGAATTTAGCAGCAGGCTTTGGGCACTGAAGCCCTACTGTGTGCCAGGCTCTACAGTTGATGCTGTACCCAGAATGAATGTTAGAATTAGATGTATTTTTCTTAAAAAAGGTCAAGAAGATGCTACTTCCTAGAGTTAACTTTGAACCCCTTGATGGCACAACATCATTTTTGGATGCTTGAAAAATAAAGTATCACATAGCAGAGAGAAAACACTGTGTATTACTCTAGAGGAAATGAGGTCAGATGAGTTAGAGGTACAGGAAGGAAAATTGCATGTTAGATTTAAAAAAAAAAAAAAGACATTTTGATCATTTCCAGTGACAGAAAGCCTTTTAAAGAGGGACAAATCAAAACAAATCCATTGCCACTGAGTCATTCAGATTTGTAGCAACCTTAAGGAATAGGTAGGCCCACTGGGTAGGGTTTCTAAAGCTGAGAGTCTGATTTAGTAACCCCAAAGTTCATTTATTTTCATGAAATTAAAGTCTTTCCTAGCATTGAGAAATCATTGTAAAAGCAATGATTATAAGACTTCATCTTACATACTTTGGCCATATTGTGAGGAGGGGGCAGTCGTTGGAAAGGATAGTATGCTTAGGAGGTGGAGGGTCAGCAAAGGAAAGGAAGATTCACAGTGAGATAGTTTTGTACGGTGATGGCAAAATATGGACTTAAGCACAACAGACATTGTGAGCACAGCCCAGGATTGGGCAAGAGTTCAACCTATCGTATATAAATCCCTCTGAATCAGAATTAACTTGACAACATTGCAAGCAATTTGAAGTTGTGATTGGCTAAATGTTCATCTCTTGAGAGCATTTTTAAGGGAATCATTCATAGGGTTATTGTTGTGAATTATTGAGTCGGAACTGACCTCCAGTGGGTTTTCAGAGGCAGAGAATCTCACAGGAGGAAATTGCCTATCTTTCTCCTGAAGAGCATCAGATGGATTCAAACTAAGTACCTTTGGGATTACAGAGCAACTTTTGACCCCTAGGCCAGGCCCACCTTTTTGAACCTGAAATACATCCACACCAGTGATGTGTCAATTGATGCATATTGACGAAGAAGAATCCTTCATAAACTGCCTCATTAATAAAGTAAATGGTGACCAATGATCTTTTTAAATGGGTCTAAACAGATCAGTTTGAGCTGAGGCAATGTTAAGCTCTCCTCATAACGAACACTTGCCAGCTCGTCCTGTGTTGCATTTGGAAATCAGTTCATTGGCCTCTTAATATATATACTTGCTTCCAGACCAGTTCACTTATTTTCTTTCTTCCCTAATTATTATATTCTGAAGCATTTCTGTAGCACACATTGCTGGTATACCACTAGTATAGAGAAAACTCAGTACATGTCAAATTAAAGTATAAACCATTAGATCTCTTATGAGCCATTAACAAGGTAAAAGTTTGGAAGAGACGAGTGTGGTTAAGAACTTGGCTGGCGTGACTAGCAGTTGAGAAGGAACCTTAAAGAATGCCAGCTATTTAATTAGGCTGTTGAAATCCCTTATTGCTCATAATACAGTCTATAGATTAACTCGTATGAAGGAGGTTGGGAGGAAGCACATGAAGTGAGATGTTCAGCCAGTCTGCAGAGTGGTTTGGGGCCAGCCCAGGCCAAGCAGATTCTGTGGTAGAAACCAAGCCAAATCTATTGCTATCAACTTGACTGACAATAAACCTAGAGGACAGGGTAGAACTGTCCCATTGGGTTTTCAAGACAGGTAGCTCTGGTGGCGTCATCTGTAGGCAGTTACTCTAACACAAAGGTGAATTTGAGCCACCAGACCCTCTGATGGAGAGAGATAGCCTCCTGCTGTGTGATTTGTTGTTGTTAAGTGCCATCGAGTCATAGGCGACTCATAGCAACCCTATAAATGAAAGACCTGGACACTTGTATAACTTTCATCCTTTCTCCAGGTTCATAGAGTTTCTGGAGGCAAGCTATTTTGGAAGTGGATGCCACTCCTCCTTCCACACTTGTTTCAACCGGGGAGCTCCAGCAAACACTGTCCATCATGAGTAACCATTAACGCATTTGACACATCAGTGTCACAGTGTTCAGCCTCATAGCAACCACGAGTAACTTCTGTACAGCAGGTGGACACACCAGGGCTGATTTACAGCCTCCAAAATCCCCAGTGAGGGTCGGCTATGTGTCGGTTCTGACTTCACAGCAATGATTTTTTTTTCTCTTACTTTGTTTCTTAAGACACAAAGAGTTGTTCAGTTGTTTTGAAATATTTTCAGGAACATACCTCCTCACATTGGTCTCCTGCCAAGTGGCTACTTGGTTCAAACTACTAAATATTTTGGTTAGAGCTGAATACTTTATATTTTATTTTTTATTCTGATTTATTTACAAAGTTTGAATACGTTGTTTTTCGCGAAAGATCCTTCCCATTTCCTTAAACCCACCCACCCATCAAATTGTACAACCCTCTGATTAACACCCTACCCACCCCATACTCACCCCTCTATTTCCACCCTCCCTCAGCCCCCTTCCTTGGATCCTCAAACTCATTCTACTCAGCAAGTAATAAATACTGGAGAGGATGTGGTGAGATAGAAACTCTGTTTCATTGTTGATGCGATTGTACAATGGTATAACCACTCTGGAAGGCAGTTTGGCACTTCCTCAAAAAAGCTGAACATAGAAATTCCATATCACCCGCTATTTCACTGCTTGGAATATATCCCAAGAAAATGAGAACTGAGGCTCAAACAGCAACTTGTACACCAGTATTCATAGCAGCATTATTCACCATCACAAGGACATAGAAACAGCCCAGTTGTCCAACCACAAAGGAATGGATTGATAAGTTGCAGTACATTCAGCACACAGAAACAATTTTGTAAATTGGTGATTTTGTAAATCACTACCTAGCTTGGGAGGGACTGGAGAGCATTATGCTGAGACAACTAACTTAGTCCCACAGGACAAATACAGTCTGTATAAAACCATTATTGTAGAATGAGTATGAGGGTCCACAGCTGAATACTTTAAACACAGCCCCCCAGGGCACCTGCAGTTGAGAGGAGTAGGGAGTACTGTTGGTGGATAGGATGGAAATAGATTGCAAAGAATATCAGAGTCTGAGCTGAGTATTTGGGCCTGATGTTCTCAGTCGCAAAAGGCCTGCTAGATCCATAAGACATGACATGAAGGGGAATGAGTAAGGGAGGATTGGGGGCTGGGGGTGGGGGAAATACTCCCTCTGTGTTAAGAAAGAACTAGAAGCCACAATATAATGATGTCTGGAGGCTGGTTTGTTGTTTGTTTGTTTTTTGTTTTTTTAACATATTATTATTATTATTATGTTTAATGAACATCTACAGGGATTTTGGAATTCCACTCATTCATTGTTGCACTATTCTCCCCACCCTGGAGGACATTATGCTGAGTAAAATATCTCAGTCACAAAAGGACAAATATTATATGGTGCCACTGTTGTAGAATGGAGGCTGTTTTTAAGAAAGGAATTCTTTCTCCTGACAGGCCAGAAGCTAGAAATAATATTGAATGCTTGCATCATTCCAGCTGTGAGCCCAGCATTATTCTGAATTCCCACATTCATCCTCATAACATTCTTGGCAAAGAAATGTTACTACCATTGTCCCTATCTTCTAGATGAGGAAACTGAACTTCCAAAAGTCAGGGTGCCCACAATCCCACAGAGAAGATATGAGCACATGGTGTGTGCTCCCCTGTTGCCAAGGTCTCACAGCCATTGGGGGTGCGTTCCGAATGATCATTTAATGGCACTGATAAGTGGTAGCATCGAGCTGTTCTGCTCTGATTCACAGCTCGGGCAGATTGTTCTGAGAAGTGGCCGAGGCCACAGGGAAGAGGTTGTGCTTCCTGGTCACGAGCAGGGCTTGCAGGTGAATACAGGGTTGGGTTCAGGTGTTCTCCCCCGAGGAATAGAACAGTCCCCTTCAGATCTTACAGTCTAATGAAAATTTAACTCAAGCCAAGTGTGTGGATTTTATTTGTTGTTCATTTCATTTATAAGCATGATGCATTTCCTTCCACACACACAGCTGACCATATGTGTACTTTCTTCCCCCCCGCCCCCCCACTAGGGGCTCAAGACCTGGATCGTATCCGACTCTCTACCTACAGAACAGCATGCAAGCTTAGATTTGTTCAGAAGAAATGCAATCGTAAGTATACCAGCTGTTTGAATTAATTATCAATCCTTTCCTCCCCCTCCCAGAATCTTATAGTTTACATTTGTGTTTTTTTATGTTTATGTTTACTGAGACTAAGTGGTTTTACACATATTGGTCAAAAATGTTTACATAACAGTAAGAAGTGGATTGTGGTGCACAAATTATATAGGATAATCCCAAGTAATTAAAAAACCTAACTACTCATAATGACTAAAGGATGAAGTTGGATGAGCGTCTGGATGTGTAATCTTGAGCTTGGTATGATTCTAAATCTGAATTATATTCTTCTTTTTGCTAACCATGTTATTGTGAGTGTAATAGTATCAAACTGCTTTCTAGGAACTTTATAAAATAGAAAAGATTCTATCCTCCTTGAGTTGACATTTCTTTTACTTTTGTTGTTATTATGTACCTTCAAGTCAGAAACAACTCATCTCTGACCCTCCAGCGGGTATGCATAGGCAATAAAATCACATAGGAGTTGATTGTCCATCTTTCTCTCCCATCGTGGTGGATTCAAGGGATCTGTGGTGAGAGGAAGCTGCAATCCCAGAGGCACGCGGTTTGAGGACACCAGCGGCTCAGTGGAAGGGGGATGGGCAGTCTCCTCCTGTGCAATTAACTGCCTCTGAAAACCAGTCGGAGGATCAGCTAAGGTTCAGCTCTGACTCTCAGGTACACAACCACCACCACCACCTTGGAGTTGGCAAAGCAACTTCTCACAGCTAAGCCACCAGAGCTCCCTTAGAACCTATCAACGATGGTTATTTATGAAGTGAAAACTCCTTTGTCTTTTCAAACACTTCAATATTTAGGCCATAATGTCCTAAACAGATTTGTGTCGTCATCTAAAATCAAACTAAACTCACTACTGTCACACTGATCCTGACAGAAGACTTCCAAAGCTGTAATCTTTATCTGAATGGCTGAGCTTTCAGTTGGCAGGAGGAAGCTTTAATCACTATACCACCAGAACAAGTAGAACCACCTTAATTGTGTTGTTACTTGTCTGTTAACTGGCTAATCAGATTTGGCATAACCACTTCAAAATTAATGTAAGCCATTTCTATATTTCTACCCTAAAGTTGTTTTATCTGCTGTATAAAAATTGAGTTCATTACAAAACAACTATGAGGCATCATCTCATCCTAGCAACAATAGCAAAGTTCAACAGGGCAGAAAGCAAAAAATGCTGGCAAGGTTGTGGAGAGACTGGAACTCTTACTTCTGGTGGGAATGCAAAATGGTACAACTACTATGGAAGGTGGTCTGGCACTTTCTCAGAAAGCTGGAAATAGAATTACTTTTTGACCCAGCAATTCCACTGCTTGAAATATACCCTAAAGAAACGAGACCCACAACTCAAACAAATGTTTGCACATCTACGTTTATTGCTGAATTAATCATAACAGCAAAAAGATGGAGGCAACTCAAGTTCTATCAATAAACAAATGGATAGAAAAACTATAGTACATCCATACAGTGAAATGCTATACAGCATTGAAAAAATAATGAAACAGTAAAACATTATACATGAGGGAACCTTGAGGACATTATACTGAGTTAAATATCTCAGTTACAAAAGGATAAATAACACATAATACCACTGCTATAAAATAGGGCAGATATGGGAGAGGGGCTGAAGAGGGATTGGGGGGAAGTGGATAGATAGTTAACACTGCATTAGATCAGCTGAGAGGGGAAACTATTTGAAAGGAATATATGAGAATAATCTGGTACAAGGGGTGCACTATGGGATGGTTACGGGGGAAGGGAAGTGGTGAGGAAATGTGCAACAATGAATAAATTTTTAAAAATTGAGTTCATTAAAATCAGTGCTGAATGGTTTACAAGCTCCTGAAGCCTTGGATGTTTCTTTCTGCAACTATAAAATTGACTCTTGGATCAGAGTATTAGGATCCCTGGGTAACACCAGTTGCTTAGCACTTGAGTTTTAGCCAAAGTTTGGTCATTCAAATCCACTCAGAGGCGCCTGAGAAAACAGGCCTGGAAATCTGCTTCCCAAAGGTCACCACCGTAAAAACCCTTTGGGGTTTGACACTCATAGAGTCACCATGAGTTGTAATAAAGTCAGTGATAATTAGCAACAATATCAGCGTGTGGACTACATTTGCCTATATCAGATAATATCAAGAAAAGAGAAGATAATAAAGAAACAAGTGAACTTGCGTCAACATTTTCCCCAAATTATAAGGTAGAGCACTCATAGACTTTGAGTTAGCACTTCTATCATGTTGCTATATCCTGTTTCTCTTGGGAAAAAAAGTCATTCATTAATAGTTTATGTACATGAATTTTGCTTTTATAAAAGCTGACTGCTATAAAAAATTAGTAACTATCCATTTTATAATTAGTATCAGAAGAATGAAAACACAGTATTCTCCCAAGTGGATGCACATCGTTCTTGTATAACTGACTTGGTGTCATGACCCTTGATGAGCCAAGAAACCAGCCAGGTCCTCATCCCTACAGACCCAGAGTCTGCAGGAGAGACTCCAACTTCTCCTGGCTGTGATCAAGCTGACTGTGGCTGTGAAGATGGAGACAGTGCAGCTCTTCCTCCAGGTGCTTACCTACAGCTTAGTTTCTACCCTCAGTGGCTAAAAGTAGGGTTGAAATTTGAAATAGGAGGAAAAACAAAGATTTGTCAAATACCAACAGTGCAATTCCTCACAATAAGGTAAATTAAGTGCGGAAAATAAGAATGGAAGAAGAAGGGGGAAAAACTACTACAGATGTTGCAAGGAATTTGTGGCTGTGTTTGTAGCTTGAGTATTAATGATTCAGTGAAAACCCATTCAGTGATAGTGAAAAGTGATGTGTTTCTCCTACTTCCCTGCCACTTATTGACCACTAGAAGTGTCCTCAGAGCATGTGGGGGCCAGGAGAGGAAGTGGAGTAGTAGTGCTATTCCTCTTAAAATTTTTGCAAGACAAACCCTTTCCTGATCTTCTTTCACTGTTGCTTTGTAGTTTCATACCACCAAGTAATTTCCACCTCACAGCCACCCTGTGCATAATAAAATGAAACTTGGCCTGGGTCTGCTTCATCTCCGCAGTCGTTGATTTGATGAATTCATTGTTGCAGTTACTATGATGATCCATCTCATTGAAAGTCTTCCCCATTTTTCCTGACCTTTTTCTGCTTTTTTCTATTGTGATGTCCTTTTCCAGGGACTGGTCCCTCCCGACAATGTTTCCGGAATATGTGAGGAAAGTCTTACCATCCTTACTTCTAAGGAATATTCTGGTTATACATCTTCCTAGACAGATTTGTTCTTTCTTCTGGAAGTTAATGGTGTGTGTCATATTCTTCTCCAGCACCATAATCCAAAGATAACATCCTTCAGTCGTCCCTTTTCATTGTCCAGCTTTCATGTGCATATGAGGCAATTGAAAAACCATGATTTGGACCAAGGACAACATAGTCTTCAAAGTGACAGCTTTCATTTTTTAACGCTTAAAAAAACCCTTGAAGTGGGATCACAATCATCATAAAAAAAAATTCAAAATATATCCTGAAGGACAATATTCTCAGAATATCAGCATAGAGAGAAGTCTGTTGGCCTAGTGGTTAGAAAGTTATGCTACCAAGCCAAAAGTGAGTTATTTTAATCTCCGACCCTCAGGCCTGGTTTTAATTGTTTTTGGTCAAACATTCTTCTAAGTGTTATAGCACTGGCCTGTCCATTTGCTGTACAGAGGTAACTCGTGTTTGCTGTGATGCTGAACACTGTTACACTGATGTGTCAAATGTGATAATGGTTACCCATGGTGGACAGTGTTTGATAGAGCTCCTCAATTAAAATAAGCTTGGGAGCAGGAGTGGCATCCATTTCCGAAATAGCTTGCCTCCAGAAACTTGATGAACTTGGAGAGACGATGAAAGTTATACAAGTGTTCAAGTGTTTCTTTCATAGGGCCGCTGTGAGTCATCTATGAGTCATCTATGACTTGACAGTGCTTAACAAGGAAGTCAGCTAACAATATTATTCCCATTTAAACATCAACAAATAATGTTCAAGGTTTTGAAATTGAAGATTTTTACCCATTTATGAAATCTGAAATTGATCAAGTGTGCAGTCAAGATATATTGATAATTATTGAGGATTGAAATGCTAAAATTGGAAACAAAGAAGGATCAATGGTTGGAAAATATGGTGTTGGTGATGTAAATAATACCAGAGATAGTATGATAGAGTTTTGCAAGCGCAAAGACTTAATAATTGCAATTTTTTTCAATACTGTAACTGGGAGCTATACCTATGGACCTTGCCAGATGAAATACACAGTAGTCAAGCTAACTACATTCATGGAGAGAACTGGTGAAGAAGTTCAATATCATCATCAGAATAAAGTCAGAGGCCAACTGTGAAACAGACCATCAATTTCTTGTATGTTCTTATAAGTTCAAGATGAAGCTGAAGAAAATGTAAGTAAATCCGCAAGAGATAAATAAGAGCATCTTCTTTATTATTGTCATTGTTGTTGTGCTCCATCAAGTCAGAACCAACTCATAGTTGACCTTTCAGTGGGTTTTCAGAGGCAGTAAATTACATGGGAGGCAATTGCCCATCTTTCTTTTGCAAAACAGTTGGTGGATTCAAACTGCAAACCTTAGGATGGATGGTACAATCCCTTACCACTTAGTCACCAAAGTGCCTTCTCCTTTCACTATGGCTGGAGATTTCAAACATTTTTAAAAAAATATAAAGTAAATATAAACCAAAATAAGATACTCACTCAATCATCGCCATTGAGTTAGAACTAACTCGTAACTGACCCTTCAATGGGTTTTCAAAGGCTGTAAAATGCATGCGAAAAGATTGCCCATCTTTCTCCCATGAGTCTGCTGGTGGATTTGAACCTCAGAGAGGAATTGCTTTGGGTTAGCATCCTAACTCCCTAAGGGCTACACCAATAGAGCTCAACAATATAAAAGGGCCATAAATAGTGTGATGGTTAAATACA